TATATATAAGGTACGTATTAACATGCAAAATGTCACTACCTGGGCATGCACATAATTAGCTCGTTGCATATACATATATTAGAAAAAGTAAGTTTTTTTAGACCAGACCTCCATGTATAATTTACCCCAAGGGTACAAATTACATAACTGCAAACCCTGAAAAAATCAGCACTGGAATGCTTCTACATTAAGCAAGGGTTGAAATGGGGTGGAAAAGAGAGGAATAACCGAGGAATAACGTAAACAGGCATGTAGTCAACAATCTAAATTATATACATACAAAAATGGTGTTTCATTCCAAAGAAAAAAGCCAATCATTAGACTAGACCTCCGTAATATTTTCTACAAGGGGAATATTCTATCATATTCCGAAGCCACAAATCTTACATCCTGGTGCCTACCCAGTAGCAACATCCCCCTAGCATCCATATTTCATATTTCTCCATTTCCTCTTAAAAGAGTGGAATCAGCAAGGAATAAAGTAACCAGACAATGTAGTGAACATTCTAATTATATAGAAATGCAAGAAAATCAAACAGTTCATTCTAACTATTGATATAAAACGAAGAAATGATACCGAGAGAAGTTAACATTTCGAGATATTTATGATTTGTAATCAAAAGAAATATTTCCCCGAGCGGTAATCTAAGATTATAAATATTCTCCAATTCTCCGATTGAATTATTTTCTTGATATGTTACATTAAACATCATGCTATGTTGTTTTCTGAACAAGAAATATTCTATTAAATATGATGTTATGGGGGATTATTTTGGAAACAGCAATCACTAGAGATACTCAGTTAGACAGCCAATCTCCAAAAGTACCCTATACAGAACCATCTTGGCTACAGTACTGTATGTTACAGTGAAATATGGTACACTAGATTCAAACAGTATATTGCGATAGTACATGTATATTCGAATAGTGTATGGCACCATACTCAAACGGTACGGTATATAGTACCATACTCTAAAATATACCGTTTAAAAATGAAACAAGCTATCATCAGACCGTGGCATGACTTAAGCAAAAAATATCCGAGAAAATACAGAAATGGCAGTTTTTGGGAATACACACAGAGCTGATATATTTTATAATAATTAAAGGAAGCAAACATGCCTTAATTGAATGTCTTATTTTTAAGCAGAAATCTGCTTTGTTTGTCTGCATGCAATATTGGTACTAGTTAAAGGAAAATTACACTTTGGATATAAATATTTTATCAGATTTTGGAAGGATATATTTGATTCACTTGGCATATTTCATGTTACATTTTTCAAGACTTCATAATATCAAAAAGTTATTTTTAACACCAATGTTGCATGACAATTTAAAGCGAAATACAGTCAAGTATTCTGTCCTGATCCTGAGTTATTTTTAGTACACAAAAAAATGAAATGAAGGCATTTCATACATCTGTGTGTTAAACTATTTTTGATATTCCTTTCTATATTGCTATCATATGTATACTTCACAAATACATGTACATGTACATTGTTTAATTATCTCAGAATTTCATCTTAAAGGCTCCTGTTTTAAACTCCCCCAATTTTACTTATTAAAGGCTAACGAATAACTCAATTTAAATCAAAATTTAGGAAACATAGAATACAAAGTAAAAAATGAATGATGTTCATACACTATGAACAATACATTTAATGAAGTTTATGGGACTGAGATTTTGCCTTCAATATTCAAAGAACATGGAATGTATAAATTCTGAGTTAACCAAGTTGTCAAAATGTAATGCAATACTGAAATATCATTGAATGCATTCTTAGCACAAAATTATTTAAGCTCATCTGATTTTTTTTTCCAATATTTCAACCCAAAATATACATGTGCTCTAAATAAGAAGAAATCGGGTTAATTCCATCAATTATCTAGTCTTAAGACCTGATTTGATTTTCTGCCTCAAATAGTCTGCAAATCTAGTATTTACTGATAGACTGATTTTCCAGACCCGTAGCCAGCTTTTTACAACACATTGGCCAAAAATCATTTGAAAAGTGCTCAGAATGTTGAGAAGCTGCATGACTTGAAATAATTTTTGGCTGGAGGGAGATGGGTGTCCCTCAAAGCCCCTTGGCTACAGTCCTGTTTTCTTTACCCTTTTACTAGTTCCACTTATACACTCTTACATAAGACACAATTACTTGATCTAGCCTAGCTACTCATTCTAAGTATGCTATCTTATGGAATCCCTTACCTTAATCTAAAGTATTAACAATAGATGTGCGAATTAAACATATAGACAACGATTTTGAGAATTTCTTAAAAATGCAACATTTTGTTTCAAAAATCAAGAACCATGACGTCTTCCGAATTGAAAAGGAAGGATATGTCTGTCAGTTTGGCCCTATTGCTAAGGGATTTAGGAAAACTCTAATTACGGCTAACGTGAGTTTTACAGTAAAAACACTCTAATGTAAACAATGAATCCCAATAGGATCGATGGGGAATCAACTTGTAATTAAAGGTACTCAGTATGAATTCCAGAAGTTAAAAAATACTTTGGCAATCTAAACATACACATTTGATGGATTATGATAAAAAGCATATTTTCTGTAAATATGAAATCATGAAGGATGAATCAGTTTGGGGATGGCATTTTTATAAACTCAAACTAAATTCAGAGTGAGGCATTTTGCCTCAGCCTAAAGAACTATCAATCAAGTACTCTTGTTTTTACATACTGCATAGTAAGAAAGTAAGACACTCCTAAGCTATACTTCAATCTGAATGTTATATCTCCATTTGTTCAAAATGGAAATAAAATATTATGAAATTAAATAAGATATCCCCAAACTCAATATGGGGATAAATAACATGAATAATGAAAAATAATAAATTGACATTCAAGCCAAGATATTATCCTGTTAATAAATTTAATAATTTTTCTAGGACAGCTGTTGATGAATGTAGCATGGCCTCTCCTGAGACAATAATTTCAATTTCCTACCTGACTTGGGCTTTTGTGACTTTTGTTGGTAGGACTCGTAGGGCTTTGAGATAGAAGCCGTAACTGTTCTTCCACCCGACTCCTTTCAGGGGTCCCTGGTGTGATCTTAGAGGTGGCCAATGGCCTCATGGTGGATGCTGACGATGCAGGGTTGATAATTTGTCGAGGGTTCGGTTTATTCCCAAATAACCTTGCCATTGCTGAGGAAGCTGATGACGACTTGTGGGAAGGATTTAACTTCAGCGATGATGGGAGACTGTATTTCCTGAAGATTAAGATGAAGATTTTCTAATCATAAAAATTGAAATATTTTCTCTGTAGGCACTATATTTGAATTACCCTGGACTCTAGAATGCGATTCAATTGATTTTCATGTGCCCTCTAGCATATGCCAGGGTTTCATTATCAAAGTACAGTTTTCCCTCGGCCCCATCCTTATACCAGAATAATTTACTTGTTTTGACAAAAAAATTTGGCAACTTTTCCTCCATAATATAAAATAACCTTGCATGTCCTATCATTTATCATTTATCCATTAAAAATTCAAATTTCAGTTTTGTGAGTAAATGAATCAAAAATTTCTGCATGGCTAATAACTTTGTAAAAGACCTGCCCAGCGACTCATTTTTTCATGCTTATAATTCTCTCTCTTAAGTCACTCTAATTTTACACGATTCCTATAAAATACATCATCAAAATGTTAACATTTTCCAGCATTTAGCTCAAATAGAGATTGTGAATGCCATGCCTGATTTTCATTATTCTTTGCTTATCCAACCAAGTCTAACTTCATTTCGTTTCGAAACATGATAAGAATATCACTCCCCTCATATAAGTATTGTGCTATAGATCCTGGTGACTGTTGCATGATCTACCTAAGTGTAACATGATTTTAATGCAAAAAGCGAGATTTTTTGAAGTATTTAATAAAGAGGGGAAATCAAAGAGCAATCTTATGTTCCTGCAAAACTAGGAAAATGCATTAAACCAATTAAATTGTAACTTCTGTTGCATTCATCATTTTTCATTTAAAGTATTACAACTCTCAGCTAAAATATTTAATTGCTTTCGATATCAGTTTGAATGAAGTGTACCATGTTCATTGAGTGGACTCTTTAATTCTCGTTTAGTCAACTCAAAATATGAAATTCATGAAAAATATAAGGTAGTAATTATAAACATGTTATTAACATTGCCAATGTCACCACCTGCTATTTGTTACAGATGTCAAACACCAACCGCCATACAACATCCAATTCTGGTGATGTAATTATTTTTTTAGGAACGAGAGGAATTAGCAAGGAATAAAGTACACAGGCATGTAGTCAACACTCTAAATGGTGTAAAAATGCAAGAATATTCAAATTTTAGAGAGAAATGGAATGATAAAGCCATGACAAGAATGAAACATAGGCTCTGATTTAGACTATATCCTCTAGTCTGAAATTTTTTTGAAATTTGGAATGAAAATATTCAGACTATAGCCCACATATGTTAAAATTTGGGATTGAAAAATATTTGTTTACATAGGAAGTACCATTCAAAATGGCCGACTGGGTAAATTAATTTGCATACTTGTTACTTCCCCTAGCTTTATTTCCATTTGACAATATGCTGTGTTACTTTTCATAGCATTTAATTGTACCTTACTACTTAATTGAATTGTTATAATGCTTAATTTTGGGAAGGGAAGTTTCCTAAAATTGATAATTGTGTGCCTGAAATTTCCTGTTTTTCCCACAGGAGGGACATAATGATCAATAGACTGAATTCTCAGGAAATTCAGTCTATTGGATATAGACTAGGCTCTGATTCCCAAATTTGTAAATTACAATAATAAATTTTATAGAGGTTGCAATACAATTTAGACTGATGAGAAATTTGAAATAGATAAATTGCAGAAACTGAAAAAGTAATTTCTATTATTTCTCAATTTACCAGTTGATTCATTTAAGATAAATAACATTGAATACATAAAACATTATTCAATATGCAAATCGTGCAAAGTGAAAATATAAACTAAGTTTCTGACTTATTAGGTTGCTCCCTAGCACCTCAATCTAATTTGTTCCAAATTTTATTTTGCCTCAGTCTAAAAATTGCCTTTGATTCTCGTATTTATCTTAAAAACAGTACCAAACATGCAAATTTGATTAAAAAAATCATCTTAAACCATGCAGAACTTATTTTACATGTAATCTTCTTTAAAACTACACAGAAAAAATGCAATCTACTTCAGAATCAGTAATCTGACATGATGTCAAATATCAAAAATGTCAAAAATATGTTTGCTTAAAAGTTTTAGACAGAATCATCTTAGTCTAGGCAGAGATAAAAGAGGATTAAATACTTCTTTTACTGAAATTGGTTTACGTAGTAACAAGTAAATCACTTTCATTGGAAATATCAAGCCAACAGAACGAGATGTCACTGCGACCTTCTAAGGGATAAGGTCATTGTATTGATATAAACACCCACAAATGGAATTACTCTGATTTTGCAGTATATCTTATCACAATTTACAGCGTTTCCTACTTAAATTCTCATTTGCTTTTATTTCAATTTTTTACTTATAATTAAAAACATTAGTATTCTACTCACCTATCCAATATCTTGCTGGGACTGTCTGCAGCGATTGTTTTGTTCAGTTGGTCACCATGGTAACCTCTATTGTACGAAGGCTCGGATGCATGTTTCTGTCTGAGTTTCAATGACGTCTGCTCCGTATCTTGGGCTTCTTTTGCAAATTGACTCTCACATTTTTCATCCGTCTCGGAATCTTTTGCGACATGAGATTTATCTGTATCTATTCTGGACTCACTGGTGTATGTTCTTGGACTTGAATATGTTGTTGGATACTTTACAAGGACGTATTTCGAGCCCTGAGTTACACTATCACATGTAACATCTGCCAAATCAGAGTCAGATTTAGGCCTTTTTTGTTTATTCACATCTCTGAGTTGTGCTGACTTGGTGACAGTAGGGTCAGATTTATGGCGTATGGATTTTTTTACAATATCATCTTTAATCACTGAGGCATCTTTAATGTCAAGGTCTCTAATTTTGGGGAAATTCTTCAGAAGCTTGTCGCTTTCTACTTGAACATTGTCTGCTATCTCAGGTTCACTTCTTCTGGAACTTGTGAAGTCTTCATCGTCTTCATCATTTCCAGTGGAATGTTTTGTGTCTCTGTCATTAATATCACTATCTTTGACATCTCGACTACCATTTCTGACATCATTATTTTTGACATCACTGTTTTTGACATCGTCATTGATAGTATTTTCCAGTGACATTTTACTGTCATTCATGTCAATCTTAAAACTCAATGGAGTAAGCCGGCTGATCTCGCCTACTCTGAGCGCCATAGGCGACCGTGTCACGATCGTACTGTTCATTATGACATCATCATGCACCATCAAGGCGAGAGTGACAGAATCATTGCCCATCGGAGAAGTTTCGTCCATGGACCTGTCCTCAACTGAAACTTCAGCAGATTTTATTGGTGTCATGGTTGATTCTTGGTCACTTATTTTATTCACTTCAGTGACTTCTAGTTCTTCATCAAAGCTGACATTTGCCAGGTCAAGGTCAGTTTTTTGTTCAGTTGGCATAATACTTTCAACATAGTGTTCCATATTATCCACAGTTCCAGTATTGTCTTCAATCTTACTTTCGGAACCATATTGAAGCTTTCCGTAATTAACATCTTCTTCAATATGAGCATCATTGTCTTCATGTTGATCTATATGAGCAACAGTTTCTTCCTGCTTAACATCACATCCTCCAATCTCTTGATTTATGATGGGTTCAGTACTTATGGCTTCTTTTTCATTAAGTCCACTGAAATAGTCAGCAATGTCATCAACATTAAAAACTGATCCCTCTTCAGTATCATTTTCTCTTGGGAGGACATTCATATCATTTTTGACCTCATCTGCTCCAGGGAGAATGCTCTCATTCTTCTCAATATGGCTTACTCTCTCAGGATTACTTTTAGGATTATTGTTGTTCTCTGAAGGACCTTCATCAGCTTCAATGTTGACACATTTGGCAATTACAATAACATCATCAAAAGTGTCTGCATTATCAACAAGCTGTTTAATCTCATCTGTTGTGTCTTTATCATATGGCTTCATAAGTCTGTCTTTGGCAATTGGGTAAATCTCTTCTACTGTCTCTTCATTTAAATCTTCATTAGGATTTTCTGTACATTCATGATTGGCTCTTTCAGAATCAACATCTTCATATCTCGAGTTGTTGAATGCAGACTTTTCTTCATGATTCTTTTCAAGGTCAGCCTCTGTCTCATATGTTCCCTCAAGGTCAGCCTCCTTTTCATAATTTCCACCGAGTTCAACATCAACTGATTCAGGGGAGCCGACAAAACCACTTTCAATGGAAATACTTGGCCCAATTGCTCTTCCATCAATCAGCTGGCTACCCTTATCAAAAATTTCATTACTTATTGTCATTCCCTGTTGATGTGATACCCTTGTAGGGGGTGTGTTTGATCTGTTGAATGGCATTGGGAGTTTTGAACCACTTGTTGAACTACGTAATACCATTGTATGTTTCTTGGTTTCTGAGTTATGCCTTTCTTTGTTTAGTGTGTTTTTAGCATCAACAGTTTTCTTGGAATCTTTCTTATTCGGCGAATGCAGCTGGTTTTGTGACTTCGGCTTTTGGTATTGCTGTTTAGCATTATGTGTAAGTGATGGCTTGGTTTGTTTGGTTAGGTCTTTTTGTTTGGCTTGTTGGGATTTTGAGGTCTTTTGGTGGAGTGTAGTTGTATGTTGTTGGGATTTGGAAGTTGTTTGTTGGGATTTTGGTGCAGCTCCAGTGCCATTAGATCCCAGAGAGCTTGCACTGAGTGACTTCTGCTTATCAGTCCGCTTAATATTTCCGACACTGTTATTTTTAGAAATCTCCTTCTGCGCAGGAGCCGTCTTTGTGGTAGCTTTAAAAGATGGTCTAACTTTCCTTGAATTGTCTTTGTCACTTTTCGATGACCTTGAACTTGTGTCACTTGTAAAACTGTGATGTGATGCTTGTGATGAACTGTGGAGTGAACTTTGGCTGCCATTGTTGTGTCTAGATGAGGTCAATTTTGATGTTTTCAATAAAGACCCATCATGTTGATTGATTGAAGTATTCCTTGAAGATATAGATCTCCTTTGAGTTGTAGTTCTGCTTCCACTTCTTGTCCTTTTAGTGTCTTGTGATGTCACACTGGTATTATGTGATGTCAAACTTGAATTTTGTGATGTCACACTAGAATTATGTGATGTAACACTAGCTGATCTTGTTGATCTGCCTGCATCTATCTTGGATGTGGCCCTCGACTGGACCCCATTGGTTGCTTTAGTTCCAACTTTATTCCCCATAGCTTTACTATTAGCTTTAGCCGCCCAGGCAGTTAGGCGTGGCTTTAAATCGTCATTAATAACTCCAGCATCGCTAACATTTCTTGACCTTGTGGTTCGTTTTGCTTTTGACGTAATATCTGAGCTACTCACATGACGATTCCTTCCTGTTTTAACTCCAGTTGTTTCAACGGTTGATTTCAATTTCATATCAACGGATCCAGGTGCTTGTTTAAGTCTATTACTGCTTGATTTATCCTTACCTGTCAGTGCACTTCCTGAAGTAGTGTTGATAGTGGCTGTCTTACGTTTCGGTCGTACTTTGACTTGTTTATCATTCATCGTTATGTCCTCATTCTCGCATTCTATCCTTCCAGTGAATCCTGTGCCCTTTAGGTTCAATACATTCCCGACTGTGGATGTCGGCCGATCCATTAATGTTGAATTATGTTGATGGCTTGCACCTTTTCCAGTAGATTTCAAGTTCATAATGCTCCCAGAACCAGATGCCGGTCTGTATATTAAACTACTGCGCTGTTCTTGAAGAGTTATCTGTGGATTCTGAGGTGTAATTATTCCGCTTGAGCTGGTACCAACATCGCTCGTACTAATATTATCAGATCCAAGCTGAGATAATCCTTTATGAGATAATCCTTGATGAGATAATCCTACATGAGATAATCCTCCAGGTGAGTTTATCCTTATCCCTTCTAATTCAGCATCAACAGTACCTTCCTTAGTCAACACAGGACTCTGCTCTGATTTACCCCCGACAACTGTGAATTCCTTCCTGTTAATTTTCTCGTGGATTTTAATATCTGACATAGATGCTGTTCCCCTACTGGGCGCCTGGTGTAATGAAGACTGTAGCAAAAGAATCTTGCTGGTTGAGTTCGACTTTTGATATTTCATTTGCTTGAGTTTTGATTTTGGTAGATCATCTGAGTTTACATTACATGTTTTATTTATATGTGTGTTGTGTGTGTTATTACTGTGAGATTTTGGCTCGGAGGGGTTATTATGTAATATACCAGCAGTCAACATCTGTGTTTTTACATTAACGTCACATGTTTGTGTTTGATTTTTATTACGGGCAGCTGCTTCTGAGAGTTGAATTGGATTGATTTGATCTTTGACAACTGGTTGAACCCTCTTTGATTCTCCCATTGTTGCTATGGTACCCTGACCCTTGACCTTAGCTGTATCACCTTCAGTTATGGGGATCTCGAAACTGCTATCAGATTTATCATCATCCAGGTGTGAAATTGATGAGGAGTTTCTAGATTTCTGCTCGGATAAGATATTAGTAATCTCAGCTGGAGATGAGGTTGTGTTGAACTTTTTAGCAGTAGATGCAGAGTTATGATCCTGGTTCAGATGGTTATTAATAGAGTTGGTATATCTGGCTCCCGGATTGATTGATGTTGTGTTACAAGACACCCCGGGTGATGTATTGGAAACATCACATACAGAATCACAGCTCTCAATGCTTATGTTACCATTCACATCAGGCAAAGAAGAGGAACTTGAATTGAAACTGAGGTTTATCTTTTTGGGGGGCTTCAGATTACTTGAACTTGATTTCGTTCCACTTGATCGAGTAAGCATCTTGGGTTGGTTTGATGTTTTCTTCTCACTGGAATCCTCAATTCTGATACAGCCCATCTTTGTTCCACTTGACCGAGTTAATATCTGGGATTTATTATTCAATGTTTTCTTTTCACTGGATTCCTCCATTTGGATGCTGCTGGGGTCTTTAATTGGCATAGCTGTCTGCAGAGATGAAGTAGCTGAGGATGGAGGTTTGTTTACAGGTGATTTGTTTAGACTACTAGAAGAACATGCTCTGATAGTAGAGCTCTTTGAGGGGTTCCTTGCGTTCTTGCTAGGGTTTCCATTCAGTTTTCCTGTGCTTGTTTTTCCAACAGATGTACTCAATTTACCTTGGGGAAGCACCGTTGGTTTTTTGACTGCACTTGAAGAACTCCTCAGTTTTCTTTCAGGCTTCAAAGTTATCTTTTTGCCCTGTGGGGGTTCAGGTTTATTTTTGTTTGTTTTGTTTTTCTTATTGGTGTCATTTTCTGCTCTGGTAGGCACAGTTTCATTGCTACCTGTAGTACTATGGTGGTCTATGTTATTATCATTACTCGTAATTATATCGTTAATAATTGCATCATTAGACAGAATTGGCTCACTTTGTAGCTCAGTTGCCATTTTCCTGGGGTCAGTTACATTATTTTCATGGTCAACTACATCATCCTCATTAGCTACAGGTGTACTTTGCGCAATGGGCCCCTGATTATCTAATCCTGTATTTATTTCATTTCTAACATTTTGATATCCATCCTGCTGTGATTTATTGCTTCCAAATGTTGGGCTAGTAGTGTTTATTTTAGCCTGGCTAATATTCCCGCTGGGTTTATTTTTCATGGCTGTTTTTTGGCTAGAGCTCAGTAATTTTGTTGATTCATTTTCTGGGTTTGCTATCAATTTATTCAGCAGGTCACTATCAATAGAAACAATTGGTGAAATATTCACGGTTGATTTGACATCTTGGCTCCGAGTTTGATTACAAACTTCTGGCGTATTTATTTCATCATTGGAATTACAGTTGGCTGATTTCTCCATATTTTTCGGCTGGTTATATCTGTTGCTATGGTTACCAAGCTTCCTAAGCTCCATGGTGATATTGGAATTCTGAGCTGAAACAGCGGATTCATTCTTCGAGGGACTTTTCCTCCTGTTTGTATTCAATCTTGGCATTTTGCTTGGACTAGGGATAAAAGTCCCAGGGATCAATGTCCCACTTGTGTTCTTTCCAATGGTAGCCACAGCTGGCTTTGCAAGACGTCTTTTACTCCCAGGGGACAAAATACCCTCCAGTGTTGTTAATCCAATATTTTGGTCAGTTGTGTCACTAGCCAGGTGATGTTCATTTAAAATTTCATTCATGCTATCTCTCCTCTGATCTGTATTATTGCTTAGCTGGCAGGTATCCATTATTGAAAGGTCATTTTCATTTAAGCTACCTGTCTGTTCTAAAACTCCAGATTTAGAATTACACATGCTATGTCCATCCATGTATCCCCTCAATAAACCTGTATTGGTCTCATTTACACCTGTTGTAGCCTGTCTGACAGTGTTCCCAATTGACTCCAGACTGTTATCAGTCAAGCTGTCTACAGGTGTGTGAACATCAGAGTATCCATCATTCCCACTGACATTACAATTTATTTCATCCAAATCGTCTGTTAGATTACAGTGATTGATGTCTAATGAATTGTCAATCTGGATCCCACTGGATGAATCTGCCTGGTCACGTCTGCTATTTTTAGATTTCAATGCCATCTGCTTTTTGCTTGAGTTATTTTTAGACTGTCCTCCCAGCTGTTCAATGTTGTTGTTTTGTTTAGTGGTCAATCTTGATTGAGGAAACCCCTTAGGGGAATCCCTTTGACCCGATGAGGTCACATGATCAATATCTTGGGATATCAGGGATGGAGTCTCAGGAGTGACATGACATTTAATTGGGGGATTCCCTCCATGAATTAATGTCTTGTTATTGGAAATAAATCGCTGTTCTGTCATATTAGGATCAATTTCAGTTACAGTATTGATTTTTCCTCTTTGGCTTGCTTCAATTTTGTTTATTAAAACTCCAGAATCCAACTGATCTTGTTTATCCCTTGGAGATTTGACAGTTAATCCTGATAATCCCCTATGGGTTAATCCTAATCTTATTCCACTTACTGAAACAGTATCCTGGCCTTCACTCTGGGTATGTATCCTAGGTCTATTGCTAAACCCTATGTTATGCCTAGATAGACCTGTCAGTAGTTTCGAATTATCACTAGCAGTGCTATTTTTGGGAGATGTTTCGGGATCAACAGGGTTAACGGATGAGCCAGCTGGGATTTTGAGGGTATCACATGACCTAGTATGAATTCTGGGTATGCGGCTGCTTCGTCTAATGGGAAGATTTGAACTTTTGACTCTTCTCATTGATTTGCCATTAGGCTCAATGGACTTTTGAGATGTTTCAATTGGATTTGTTTGAACTGAATCCATGTTGACAATGTGCTGAGGAATATCAGAACTAGACCCTATTCGTGCTCTCTTCCTCTGGGTGATTAGACTTTTCCTTGCGTAGCTTCCCAAATTATCCTCTTGGGATATAACACTGTAATTTTCCAGTTGCGTGTTCTGTATTATATCGTCTCTAATTGCGTTTTGCGTCAAGAGTGTTTGCGTAATCAAACTCCTATTGATTATGTTTCTATCTCCCAATGCATCTAACTGTCCATTCTGGTAATCTATATCATCAACATTTGATATCCTGTTTGAATCCGTCTCAATAAACTCAGATATAACTTCCGATTCCTTTCCTTGTTTTAATTCATCTTCATCATCCAAGAATACAATATCTTGTTCGGTATTTCCACTTTCAAATTCTGTGTTAATTTTATCAGTTGTTTTATTTTGATGAGTTGTATCTACTACAGGTGTTTCACTTTCAGTATCCCCCACTGTGATTGCACATTCCGCTGGTAGAAACTTTACATCAATAGTTTGGGTAATTTCAACATCTGATATCCTGACGCTGGTCTGGTCATTTGGGTTATTGATCTGTGCTTTAAAGTCAGATTGATTTTGTTCTGTGTTTAAGGGGTCTTGGTATGTGTCTACCAAGGGGCCTTTTTGGATTTTATCAAGAATATCCTTATCGACGACAACTGTGTGTCTCCGTGGTTTCATATGCTTTGTGAACAACCCGGTGAATCCTTTCGTCCATTTTCGCTTCTTTTTTAACTGCACGGAAACTGCACTTGTGTTCAAGCCCTGGTTGCTATGGTTACCAGATGTCTCCAAAGAGGACACATTTAGCGATGATTCCGCAGAATCTAGCTGAGACGTCACTGAGGATCTCGACGTACGGCCTGATACATCAAATGAATGTTCGCTACGGAGGCTTATATTTGAATTTGATGTCTTCCCATATGATGCATTACTAGATGGTCTCTGGTTTTCGGATATCTCATTAATATTTTCATTCCAGATACTTTTGTTGCGAATACCAATAGATTGACTATCCCCGTGGGGCCCAACATCATCAATATTCTCACTTATGTTATACAATGTTTGCATGCTATAACTCCTGCGTCTAGAGTTCAATTTCTCATTTTGGAAATCCCCTAGGGAGCCCCCTAGCTTTAATAGCTTTGCTTCATTAGTTGTTGCAAACTCTTCATCATTTTCATTTGATAAATCCCAATTACTATTACTTAGGATTCTCTTCCTCCCTAATTTCATGGGTTTTATTTTATCTTTTAGACCATGGGCGAATCGTTTCAAACGGCCCCGTTTTCTCTGCATCAATGAATCCTGGGAATTATCCGTGGTTGTCATAGTAACAGACTGCTCTAAATCGTCTTCATAAATTTTGAAATCCATTATTTGTGTTAATAATCACAAATTTCTATTAGAGATGCCAAAGATTGTTATATGGCGCAGATAAGACCATAAGGGCTAAGCTACGATTGATTTTCCATCGGAAAATAATAATTCACTTACGATGTCACGCTGACTTTGGTTTTTATTGCTCCATTTGTGCCGCAGACAATTGCCTGGAAAACAATTTAGAAAAGTTATTATGTAACTGAAATAGAATATGAACTTAGATATCAGATACAAATATCACTTATTCAAGATGACTGAATAAGTTTTCATGTTGAATACTGAAACTGAATATGAACTTAAAATATGTCTGATACAAATTAGTTTTCTGTTATCTGTTACCTTATCAATGGTTTGAAAGAAATGAGTAAATGTTTTCATTTTTAAACTTAGCATTGATGTAAATGTGCCTCCTAAACTAGTAAAACAATAATCTCGATGATATGCTTTCATCATGGATGTATAATGAGTTTCAGCTTCGCCATAAAAACTGTAAAGTAAGTATGTGAAAGGGTACATAAATAAATTTTATCTCCTGTTTCTTTATCAATGGTTTGATAGAAATGAGTTCATTTTCATTTTCAAACTTAGCATTGATATAAAACATAACGTTTGTAAACATTCATTTATATTATAACTTTATACAAAAATGCATGGTCATGTTTTGGTCTGTGTAAAATAGGATGGAATAAGCAAGGAATAAAGTAAACACACATATAGAAAATGGTATGAATTATACATCAACATAAAAAATGAGATCCTTTAAATTCAAATTTTGGAGAGAAATGTAGTGAATATAGCAAAATATGTTCTAAAATCTAAGCAGACAGATCAGAGAAATCTTTTCATAAAAAAGAAATTAAAATATGAACAAATCTGTTTGCTCAAGTTTCTTGCACTCACTTCTCTTTAACTTCTTGACTACCTGGAGTGACGAGAAATGACCTTGAAACCCAGAGTGACGAGAAAATCCGTCACAAAATTGTTCACTGAAATTGCTCTTATTTGAACAATTTTAATCCAATTTACACAAAAATTGTTTTAAAACATGTCGAAATGATCTCTGCCATATAACTTTACGAAGTTGAGCATCTAAAGTTATACAGGTATTTGTCAAAAGGTGGCAAAAATGAAAAAATTCTCTGGTTTCAGCTGATGCCTGATGATGAGCCTGGGATTCAAGAGGTTAAAATTTTAATAAATCATCTAATTTTCTTGCATTTCTATACACTTTTGAGCATCATCTATAACATTGTTTACTTTATTCCTTGCTATTTCATTCAATTTCCCCTCCTTTTCGCATTTGAAAACATGACTTCCATGTTCGGATTTCATGTTTGGGTAACAATTTTTACTTGATAAGGCAGTTGTAATTGGAAAGGACATTTACTTGTTGATTAAACCTCCAGTAGAGATCAATGAAGGATTGAAGATAATAAACAAGTTCTGGCTAAAATTGATTTGGAATGTTATAAGAGATAATTGGACACAACTCGAAGGTAATAAAATAAGACATTTTGCAAAATAACGGCCTGTTATACTGACTATTTTTGTAAAAACAATGATAAGTCACTAATGAAACTAAATGAAGTGTGTTAAATGTTGAAGTTCCAATAAAATATACGGTAAAACCAGTCTAAGTGAACACATCTCTCTAGTGAACACCTGTATCAAATGAACACCACTTCAAGACACATTTTACATTGATTCCTGTAAAATCCTCTCTCTCTAATGAATACCTTCCTACAGTGAACACTTTTTTGTGGCTCCATGGGTGTTCCTGGGTTGTGAGTCCCAAGATCAGAAATTCAATAAAACCCAGCGTACAAATATTTTGACATATTCCCTATAGCTACAATCTTACTGAATGCCAAGAACTGTTCAAAGCAGAATCTAATATCTGTACCAGTTGGTGCCTTACTTACGGACTTAAATATCACCACTGATAGACAGACGCTAGGCCTACAAGCTTAGGCGTCTACATGATGCCTCTCTCTCACTGGCTGGTTGTGGGTGAACAATCTTTACTGTTGACCTTAAAATAGAAGTCAGACCTATTAACAACTGGAACCTATCTCATTGTCATTCTGGTGGCTACACTGGCTATACTCTCCGACTCTTGGGATAAACAGTATACAATTGTTGACCTCTCCAGAGGTCAACCGGCAAAATTGTATACCGAGACTGTAAACCGAGAAACTACTGTTGACAGAAAACGAAGGTCGAGGTCAACAGTAGTTTCAAGGTTTACAGTTGAGGTATATGATTTTGACGGTTGACCGAATGGAGAGGTCTACAATTGTTTTGTTAGTCCGAAGAAACTAATAATACACATATAGACGACAATCATCAATCAGCATGGCTTCATTTCACAATATTTTCTCCGAACCACGCCAGCAATGAGTACTCATTAGTAAATTAATGTTAATTTTATGTTTCTGTTTGTATTTTTGCTATACCCGTCGTCTAGTAAAGTCAAAATATTACTTTCATCGACGTTTACAAAATGTCCGTCTAGCATGTTTTTTCTTCAAACAATATGACATCATGAAACTTATTTTTCAAAAGTAGCGGTCAACAGTACCTAGTAGCGGTCAACAGTATACAATTGTTGACCTCTCCAGAGGTCAACCGGCAAAATTGTATACCGAGACTGTAAACCGAGAAGCTACTGTTGACAGAGACCGAAGGTCGAGGTCAACAGTGTTTCAAGGTTTACAGTCGAGGTATATGATTTTGACGATTGACCGAATGGAGAGGTCTACAATTGTTTTGTTAGTCAGAAGAAACTAATAATACTCATATATACGACAGTCATCAATCATGGCTTCATTTCACAATCTTTTCTACGAACCACGCCAGCAATAATTTTTAAGAAAATCTGAAGACAGTGGAAGCTAAACTCTCTGTTTTCGGCACATAACTGCGTACTCACTAGTAAATTAATGTTAATTTTGCGTTTCTATTTGTATTGTTGCTATACTCGTCGTGTAGAAAAGTCAAAATATCACTTTCATCAACGTGTACAAAATGTCGGACTACCATGTTTTTTTCTGTAAACATTGTGACGTCATATTTCCCATAATTCACAAGTGTAGTACAGTAACATACGCGGTCAATAATATGATATCCCATGATGCACAAGTGAGGTACAGGCAAAAATGTTGACCGCTAATTGACCAATCAGATGCGAGTATTTACACTGAGGTACTAACAATACATATTGTTGACCACTAATCAACCAATCAGAATCGAGTATTTCAGTTGAGGTACTAACAATAATAACTATTGACCCGGATAAATAAAAGTAAACTTGAGAGGACAAGTTGCTTATATCTGGCTAGATGGGAATAAACAATCATTACTGTTGAGTGTTGGCGAAATGTAAACATAAAATGGTTTCCTAAATATTTCAACAATATAATTAAATGAAATCAACATTTTTTGCTTATTAATCTAACACTAAATATATATCTATACAACAATATCTCATTAATATCATATACTGTATAGATGTTTAATAAAACAGTTAGTATGGATATCATAAGAATGTGGTTGACAGAGACATCTATACTACATACAAAAACTTCAACCTATCTTGTATTAACACAAGTTTTTAATGGAAGTCAACAAACCTAAGACCAAGTTTGCTTCAGAAATGTGTTCATTAAAAGGTGTTCAATTCAATAAGGAGAGGTTTTCAAAAGAGAGGGTTGTTCAATAGAATGGCATGCCCAATAGAGATTGGACATTCAATAACGAGGTGTTGAATAGAATGGTGTGTTGACTAGAAAGGGGTATTCAATAGAGAGGGGTAATCAAATGAAATGGGTGTTAAATAGAGAGGTGTGTTACATAAAGAGGAATGTTTAATACTATAGAGATGTTCAATATAGAAATATTCAATAAAGAGAGGTTTTTACTATAGGAGTTTTCAATATTGTAAAACTAGTCTACATTCTCTCGATATTCTGTATTGGCACTCGGCTTCGTCTTGTGCCAATACGGAATTTCTCGAGCAGAATATATCCCGTATTGCACTTCAATTCATTCAATAACTTATGGTATAGGGTGACACAAAAAAACACAACCAATAAAAATATTTCAATGATTTATGGGTTCTGTTTTATGGGGTACCCTGTATGTCATCAATGTTGTAACTATGACTTGAAATATGCTGATTATCTAAAATATAGATCCTCCAAAGGTCAGCCTATATTGGCAAAATTCAAACCATAGTTACATGACCTTGTGTACTTACATTCAATGTTTGGATGAATCTTGAAAACTGCACATCTTGTATATTCATCCAGAATCTGAAAAGTATGCACCTTTTTAAACAAACCGGGAAACCCTATGAGCAGTAACCTCTGACCCTGCATACGGTATCTACTTAAAGGCGCACTATACTTAATACTTAATAGTTAATACTTTGATAATTTATTGTAAGCTTTGATTTGGTCCATTTGAGCTGTTGTTGGTGTCAAATGAAAGATAAGGTTCTTATCAATACATTGGACATACTATGAAATTTGAATGTAAGTCTTTATATTGCCCAAAAATGTTGAAAATTCCCAAAGTGGGCCTTTAAGCAATTTCCAATTGTTTCATTGTTAGAATTATAATATTCAATATTGAACAGTTGAATAGCTTTGTCTGGTGTCTTCATTTGTTTTGTCTGCTATCAGAAATTCTCCTGAAATTTATGGAAGAAGTTCAATTTGTTGTAGGTTGGTAATACTGACCAGTGACCACACCCTTCAGTTTTCTTAGGTTTGATATGTGCTTAAAGTTTCAACAGTTATTACTGTTTAGCAAAGCAGACTGAGGATAAATAAGTCTTTTTTCCATCCTAGATCAGGTCAATCCCACTTGTATGTCAGTGCTTTCAGTAGGCTTGTCCAAAAGTGCTTCCCTGGGACGGATTGATTTTACAAAATCGCGTCCCCCCTCAAAAAAGTGCGTCCCCATGAAAAAAGGTTCCCGGGAATTCAAAGTCACATTTTTGCACTGAACGAAAAAAATTGATGAAAAGTTTGCATCAGTTTTGTTATTTTTTGGCCCAGATCAGTGTACTACACACGTCTAGTAGGTCATTAAATGATGCAGATACCTTCATTAGAAAGAGATAACTAATTTTCAACCATTAAATACAATTTTTCTTCGCGTATTTCAAAGCAATTTGCTATTGATTTTGATCGCTCAGAAAGTTTCACTAGGAGCAATCTCCGTGAGGTTCCATTTTTTGGTTCAGTTTTTTGCGCATGCGCAGCAAATCCAGCACTTTGATTAGTTAAAATTATTAAGACACATGCGCGATTAATAATCTCGGCCAATCATAGGACTCGTACCGATTACCGCTCGGAAATCAACTACTAGTGATTGTCCAATCACGTACCTCATACTATTTTGATCGGAAATCAACTTCCGGGAAAGAAACTCCGAAAGAAAATTATATTTCTTTTAGAAATAGAATATCCTTCGTTTATTTAGCGGATTTTGAACAAATAAAAGACTGAAGGTAAGATCTTTATCAATACATTCATCCTGAGTTAATTTTTTTGATATGACCTGCACTGCGTCCAAGTGACCCCTCATTTTCATTGTTTGGGGTCCCTATAGTAAAAACCGGGTCCTCTCCATTATGGGACGGCGTTAATGAAAGCACAGTTATGTTAGTTTAGGCGATATATATGAGTTTATATCAGTTAAAATTCTGATCAACCTGTCAGACCTAGACTGTATCCTTTGTCTGAATAAATATTCAGACTGTAAGTCACCTATTGTAAAATGTGGTGTTGTATAAATGTTACAAATAAGTTTGTTTAATGATATAAAATGATTACCTTATAAAGAACTTACAATATTATTTTTTCGTATATTGTCCTCTTACTGAAGATATTCATAAAATGTACAGACGCTTCTTGTAGCGAAGCCATTGATTAGGTCAAGCCATTTTGGCAATGCCAATTCTCACGATAAACGAGATTTAGCCAGTGACGTCAGTCTATTTGTAAACAAATAACACGTGGAGCGGACGGAGCAACATTACGAAAGCGTATTGATAAATTCCATTTGTGCGGGAATTTATTAGATCTAGTCATTTATTATCATTATCCCGATTAATTTTCTTCATTTATAGTAAATAGAGCGGAAATATTCATGAAGAAGGCCGAGGTAATCAAATGGTCATGTGTTGTCAAAGTTCAGAAATTTGCATATCTCGTTTGGATCTCGTGAACTCAAACGTCCTTGACATTGATTTCGCGATCTACTTATGAACACATCCTGAAGTTTTGGCGAGTCTGAACATTTCATTATTTTATATCAACTTGTACCCGCCTTATACAAATATTTTTGCTTCTAGTTTAAGATTAACATCTCTTCAACATATTCACCAATTTTCAAGGTGAACATTCTTGTAATAAACGAGAAATTTATGTGCAAAAAATATCACCGCGATTTCCACAGGAAATATATCAATCATAACAGACCGAATATTATATTCGGTCTGTTGGATACATACTACTGTCAGACCCAGGATAGCCCATTTTAGCCGAACCTCACCCTATAATTTTGGTGTCCTAAATCTTTGACGGGGGATAATGTAAACAGACTGACATGAGGTTTCAGTTACCTTCTGAACCAATAAAAGTAAATAAAATAAAAATATACCATGTTCTTTCAAGAAAGCCCATGAAATACAAAAATGACATCTTTATCGCATCCTACGACCCCTTTAGATTGTGGTCGTACGCCGGTATCATTGGTAAGCCTGTCTTTCTACAATGTCGGAGAATGAACTACGCATTACACTATTAAATGCCTTACCTCGATATATTCCAGAGTATTTTAGAATTCTTTTTATGTTGTTAGATCGCCAATTGTATGGGTTTATCGGCAGAACGAAGAGATTTTAGTTTTTACATCGGAAATATATCAGCAATTTTCAAAATGTCGGAAGGGGAATTCCCCAGGGATTTCCCTTAGACTGGTGCATGCCGGGAACTGAAAGGAGGAATTTGACGGTTGAAATAAGTTAAATATTACACGCAAATATTGCTATCAAAAACGAAAACCTCTTCGTTCTGCCGATAAACCCACACAATTGTGGATTCAACTACACAAAAAGAATGCTAAAATACCAAGGAATCTATTGAAATAGGTATCTTAAGTGTAAGTAGCGTAGAAAATTCTCCCATGTTGTAATCGTACAGACAAAAGAATAAGACGTTCGCAAGACTAGAACGTAGAGATAGTCTTGGAACGAGATTATGACATCTGACTTGACAAGTAGTCTACATGGCAAGTAAATAAGGTGTCCAGCTTTGTTTCTAACTAACCATTGTCATGGTCAATGATACATTCAAACTGTGTAATATTTATCTCTCCACTGAATAAGGATATTTTCAAACATATTTTGGGCAAAAATAAATATTTTGAAGTTTTAGAATTGTGGTTTCAGAAAAAAGGTCAATTGCAGGGTCATAACGGTTCTGAAATTGCACTCATAAAAAAGCTTGATATCACGATGAATTTTTGCCCAAATAAAATAAATATTTGACAAAACTATCTAGAATATATAACAAATATATAGATATCTTTGGTTCTTTGATTAATAAGTCGATTAAGAAGTAATAGAAGATTTAATTACCTGTATTTTTATTCAATTCGTAAATTCCCGCTGACCTTTTCGTACTCTCGCAAATTATCGCTTACATGTCGAGATTTGACTTGAGCCGCGAGATTCAAATTAAAACTTACAAGAAGTCGCTTTACTATGAATCAGTCAATTAAGTGATACATCCATTGAAATAGTATGATTGAGAAATATATAAACTCCATCTTTGAGGCATTAAGTATTGTTTTGAATGATTAAAGAAGGCTAAAATCGCTATAGTGGAATGGTGAAAATCACATACGAAATTCTCAAAAGTTAATTGAAAACACATTCTATTTTGATTGATGCAAAACACAAAATGTATTTTTGGCATCAATTGCTCGTAAATGATGAATAAATGGCGAAAATATCAAATGAACAAATAAATTATGACTTCTAAGATGCGATTTCTAACAACTCAAACTCCAAATGTGTTATCCACTAAATAATATTTTGGAACGTGTCCTCCAGAAACACCCAAAATGGTTGCCGTTCTTTGGAAGAAATTCCTCAAGAATTAACGTGGAATGTAACAAACATTGCGACAAATCCAAGACATTTGTGGACTATTTGGAAAGATGATTATCTCGACTATCGACAACCAATAGATGGGAGATAAAAAGTGTCCAGTTTACGTAGGAGCTAAGCCGGATGTGAAATTTCATGATTCATGACTCCACTTCCGTTTGATTTTTTAACTTTTTGTTCTGATTTCACAAGGTTTGATAGTATTGGAATAATTCAAACTGACGGATTAAAATAAAATAACTAAATGAAATGACAAGTTGTTGAACAGCCCATTCACTTGATCGATCAAATTCCTAAAAGTGGCACAAACAAATTTACAACAAGTAAAATGAGGGAATACAAAGTTGTAGTTCTTGGGTCAGGAGGAGTCGGCAAAAGTGCCCTGACGGTAAAATTTGTATCGGGAACATTTATGGAAAAATATGACCCGACAATTGAAGATTTTTATAGGAAGGAAATAGAAGTTGACCACGCACCATCAGTGCTAGAAATTCTTGATACAGCTGGGACTGAACAATTTGCATCTATGCGGGACTTATACATCAAAAATGGACAAGGCTTTGTTGTAGTCTATAGTATAACAAGCGTACAGACATTTCAGGATATAAAAACAATGCGAGAGCAAATAATTCGGGTTAAAGGATTTGAAAAAGTGCCGATTATACTCATTGGAAATAAGTGTGACTTAGAGCATCAGAGAGAGGTGCGTCATGCTGATGGACTTGCCCTCGCTCAAACATGGGGATGCCCATTTATGGAGGCATCGGCAAAGAATACTCACAATGTAAATGAAGTTTTTATTGAAATTGTACGAGAAATGAGCACCAGTCCCGTAAAGGAAAGCGGAGAATGCTGTTGTACTATACTATAGTGATTACTAGTAGTAAAAGGTAAGGTTCATCAAGTATTAGAAATCATTTCTGGTCCAGGGTGTATGACTGCTATTTTAGACTGTGGAATCAATTATGATTTGGTAATAGGTTGTGGTAGAAGCTAAATAGACTGTGTTACTGTGCCATAGTTTAAAAGCCTAGTGAGAGGCTTGTAAGTATATAAAGAATTGGTAATTTTGGGGATTGTTAAAAAGGATCGAGGATAGAAAGAGTATAGTTTTTTACCAATCGTTTTTGTTTTCAAAGCATAATGAACAAACAGAAAGGAAATAGTTATCTGTAGTTTAATAACTTGTATATAAACAAGATAACAGGAAACAGACATAGAAAGAGGAAATGTAACTTCATTACTCCAAAATTACTGGTGGTTTAAATCCTTTGAAACTTTTCTCATCATGTTTCATGTCATGAGCCTTTCATGTTCCAAAATATCATTAGTGCATTTATCCATCTAAGTAAGATAGTCAAAAAGTGATCTTCAATGTAATTCATGAAATAAAGTAGTCATGAGGGGTAGTCATAAAGGCATTTAATCATGTATATCGCCCTGTGATTTCATCCCCCTCCCACCCCAATATTGGTTGAAGAAATATAAATCATATTTAGGGAAAGGTTATATGATAGAAACCAGACTAAACTGATCACCAACAGTTATTGTAACATTAAATTAATATCATGCCTATGTAATCGGACAAAATTAATATAAAACTTCAAGGTAAATTGCGAAGTGGAGTTTGTATTTCAACTTGAAACTGACATATTATAACAAAGAGGCAATATTTTGTTATCAATCAAGTATTCATAGATATTTCAAGTACATGTACAGCCAAACCTCTAAATATGTGATACATCAACATAGACACTTATGAAACATTTAAATAACATAAATGTGTTTGACTTTTAAATGAAAAGATAGATTTTTGGTAAAATTGGTAAAATGTTATTGTATTGAAATGAGATCATTTTTCTATAGTTCAGTTTTTTATGTTCAATTGACTTTGATAACTTAATTAAGCCTGTACATCCAAGCATTGTTCACTTTTGAAAGTTTTACTGTACTGGTATATTAAAATACAGAATTTCAGTTTTGTAACAAGTGCATGCCACCCTTATCAATTGAAATTACATGACATTCTCAAGATAATAGTAATATGTAAATGCTTCAATAGGCGTAGCACCTGGTACGCTGGGTACGCACAGGCGTACCAGATGGTTGCAAATTCGCTCCAAATACAACCAAATTTCTAAATATTCCTGGGGGGAGAACATCTCACCCCCCCCCAAATCCCCCTAAATGCGTGTCTTTTGCTTCGCTCAACTCTTGTTCCCGTGGTGGCGTACTACTTAGAAATATAGCACTACACCCTTGGCTTTATGTCTAAATATAATTTAAATGAGCTTGGTTGCTTGCTCAACAGTCAAACCATATCCCCCTATAGTTAAAAAGTGATAACAGCTTGTTTTATTCATTCATTTCCAGCTAATTTAACACATTTTCCTTAGTTGGAAACACTACCACTATGATATTTATAATTCAGGAAGTTTTGTCGTGATATGAGTAATTAATTACGTTTTGGGGAAATAATTATACCAGGGTGGTCAAGTTTTAGATTATAAATAGAGTGGAATTTTCAGGAAATAAAGTAAACAGGCATGACGCCAACATCCTAAATTGTAAAGAAAAGCAAGAAAATCAGACACTTTATTCACATTTTAGAGAGAAAATGGATGAAAAAGACATAGGCAGACGGACATTTTTGTGGGTAATTAGCCTGTTGTTATCGCTCATTATTATGATATGCCCAAAAGTTGACAAATAATATTGACAAAGGTTATCTCTATATGACTAATTTGTCATTCACTTTGGAATGTTAGCCATGTTTTATCACACATTGGTGAAATTACATGAGAAATATGTTTTGAATGAAACATGAGTGGAAATAAGAGAAATCAACAAGCAATATTTAGTAAACAGGAATAAAATGATCACTTTAAATTACATTTTGCCGGGAAATCTGATATTTTTGCAAGTTTTTAATGGAATTGTATGTAAATAAATGATCTTTGATGAGTCAAGTTTTTGAAATGTACAAATAAACCTAATGAGCTTAAACTAAAAGGTAACTTTGTGTTTATCACTCTTCAAAATGACCACATGGGAAGCTAATCTAAACTTTGTACTTGGAAAAATACACACATTGTAAACATGAACAAGTTGCTGTTTTCAGCTCTCAGTGATGTACCAGAAACTGTGATTAAGTCTAATGACCATCCATACAAAAATATGACCATTAAAAACGCTACCTTAAAAATCATGTACTTTTAGTTGAATTGGAACATTGATGGTCACAATTAGTTGAAATATTTTGTCCAGTTCATACCTTGAAGTTCTAAGTCTGATAATAACTATGACGAAGCTTTCTTTAATATGTGATATCAATGTTTTGAAATGGGTATTTAGTGTATGGAATGAGACAAAATACTAAATTTTGGTTTTGCAGATAAAATTCTCAGTCAAGGGATTTTGACCTTAATTGCAAAATTAAAAAAAATTAAAACATTGAAAAGGTATCTAGTGCATAGCAATGAGGCAAAATATTAAATTGAGGACTTGACTCTTTTGTAATTTCAAAAACAAGAATCATATCTCAATTTGAAACCCAGGGCTATGTACCATGATTTTCACAGCCTAGCACATTATTCATTGGATTAAAGGGGTTATGGCTATGTCATTGTAAACTAGATCAGTTTTGATATCTTGATCAGCGAGGGACCTGGTCAGTCTGGTACCTTTCAGTAGTGTGATTTTACCACCATACAACAGAGCGACACAGTAATAACTCACATTAATTTTGTAACTTTAGCCTTTGGCTTTCAAGGGGTTAGTCAGGTCAGTTTCATTCTGATACTCATAGCAGCTTTCTGTTTCATGGCTGAAAAGAAATGAGATGTCATGATTTATCATGATGGGTCAGTTTGGGCAAAACTTTCTAAATTTATTTTTGAATGTTTGATTTTGAATAAAGTACATTAAACCAGTCTGGAGCTCATCCTGTCTTTCATAGGAGTCACTTCCTGATACTTCACTTATGTTATAGGAAAATTCCTCATGTAAATATATAAACATCCTTTCAATTTGACTTTCTTTCATGATTTACCTATGATAGTGCAGATTAGATTGGTCATGCTTCAAGACCACCTCCCCCTACTTTAACACCTGTTGTTGAAATAGATAATGAGGGGGGCATCCAGGGTCTTCAAGCAAGACTTAATACAGATTCATCGTGTTCTGTTTTTACTGAGTATCATTCAACCCTTGTAGTGGCATAATTGGGTTGTGGAAATAGGTGAGGCAAACTTTGATATGAGAGGCAAATTTTGATATGTGAGGCAAATTTTGATATGTGAGGCTAATGTTGATATGTGAGGCAAATTATGATATGTGAGGCATCATTTTCTGTTTCAGATAAAAATGGTCTGAATATCAAGTAGTAGGTTCTAGCCCTCAGGGTGTAGAGTATCTATATGGAAAATTCACTTTGAAATGTGATCGTCGTGAGATGTTAACCTCATAAGGGGAGATTATACAGTATGATAAAAATTGTAAAATAGAACACATCTATAATGTATAAGTCAAACACTTTCTTAAATGAAACTTTATATATGGAGTCAGATCATAACACATTTGTTTTTGAACTTTTCAAAATCATGAGGTCATTAGTAGCAATAAAGTTGACCATGGTGATGAGTAATTGTGTACTGCCCTCCCTGGAGGTATATTTACCTTATAAGTACTCTCATGTTATTAAAAATATGTCGTTGTGGTCATGATTTAAAATTGAAAATAGACTTGAAAGGAGTGGAATCAGCAAGGAATAGAATACACAGGCATGTAGTTAACTCACTAAATTGTATAGAAATGCAAAAAATCAGATACTTCATTCAAATTTTAAAGAGAAAAAGAATTGAACCGACAAGGACATTTTCTCATTTGATGTCTTGTCTGAATGCCTCTGGGACTGGCTAAAAGTTTTTGGATTAGTACGTGTTCACATTTCAAGGTTTTATAAGAGTGATGAAAGAAAATAAATTTTTGACAGAGAAAAAGTGTTCACATTGAAAGGGGTTCAGAATAGAGAGGTGTTCGGGTGCAAGTTTCACATACTTGCCACTTTCACTATTTTCTGCTCTACTTTTGATTAAGTACACACCCATAGTGATATTTTTATGAAATTGGATGAGATCCCAAGTATAGGAGCCCACATTAATAATAAATTATTAGTAATCGTAGTTATTACACAAACATCAAAGAATTACTCATCTGATTTAAACGCCCCAGGAGTAAAAAATAGTTTGCCTGAATGCAATAAATTTTCACCATTCCAGTCTTCCTGGCTTCGATCGGGAATTTGGAATTGAGTTAGTGTTATCCTGCCTTTAGCCATTTATGATAAAACTTGCCATTTATATAATGAAATCTCACGAATACTCTCTGATAATAAACATTGTTATGATTTAAGGCAGAGCTTCCAGTCTTGCTTCAAGTTTCTAGACCCCTGTCTCCCCCCCCCCCCTTTCCTATCAATAAAATAGAAGTAGGTACGTATAAGGTATAAGTAACCAATGTTTGGCCAACTTTTTTCTTTTAATTTTCCACTTTGCAAACTACAACTGTATCGGGGATCAAAGATCACATCTTAATTGTATATTTGACATTACCTGAAAGCTTAATTTAAACATCCCCCCCCCCCCTTCTTCTCCTTATACTGATTGTATAATGAAACAGTGTGTGAATAAAGGTCGCATCAATCTTCATCATATGTTCACATTGTAAATAGAGTTTGAGTCAATAAACACCCCCCCCCCCTTCCTGGGATAGTTATAAAACTGCTCCTATGCAAATAAAGTGTCATATGTGACTTTAATCATGAGTTTGACATAACATGTGCATATCGAGTCTGAGTCAATAAGGTTTATTAATCGTAGGAGATTGCCTG